ATTTAAGCAATTCTCCTGCCTCAGTCTCCTGGGATTACAGGTGTGCACCACCATGCCTGGCTACTTTTTAATTTTTGTATTTTTAGTAGAGACAGGGCTTCACCATGTTGGCCAGGCTGGTCTTGAACTCGTGACCTCCTTTTTATTTTTGAGATGAACTCTCACTCTGTTGCTCAAGCTGGAGTGCAGTGGCATGATCTCGGCTCACTGCAACCCCTGCTTCCTGGGTTAAAGCAGTTCTCCTGCCTCAGCTTCCCGAGTAGCTGGGACTACAGGCAAGCGCCACCATGCCCAGCTAAGTTTTGTATTTTTAGTAGAGACGGGGTTTCACCATGTTGGCCAGGCTGGTCTTGAACTCCTGACTTTGTGATCCGCCCACCAGAGTGCTGGGATTACAGGCGTGAGCCATTGTACCTGGTCACTACCTTGTGATCCACCCACCTTGGCCTCCCCAAAGGGCTGAGATTATAGGTGTGAGCCACCATGCCTGGCTGGTAAAATGACTTTTTTAAACAACAGTTTCTGGAACACTTATTCTATTTTATAGAATGAAGTGTTGACCCATTTAAAAAAAAAATAAAATTTTTTTTTATCTAAATAGTCCCTAGAAAGGGATCCTCATGACGGAGTCCAGTAAGCATACCTAAAATAACACTGATTCAAGAACAATGGTTTTAGAGTATTAAAGTCTTATGGTCTATACTAATAGAAGGCAGCAACAGGCAAAGGGAATTAATTTTACACTTTAATAAAATACACCTTTTGATTAACAAATTTAAAAGTTAGACTTTGTTGCTTAGGATAATGTTAAAATCTGTTTGCTACTGCTGTATACACAATTATTTTAAGGAGTAGGATGGAGGCTCAGAAGCAGGCTAGATGACAACAAAGAAACAATCTGGATTAAAAATTTGTACCGGAGTCACTTGTGAATAATCAAGAATTCGGGTGTGGAGTTGTGTCCTATAAAGGGCCATTTTCAATTTAGTTCACAGAACATTTATTGAGTGCTTACTATGTAACAGACACTGTGCTAGGTGGTAGGTGAAAAAAGAGGCTCCTGAAGCACTACCAGTCTAGAGATGTAGTGATGTTCTTGTTCCTGAAAAAAGTAGTGTGACACACTAGCCAGGGGGAAAAATAAGTACCTAAAGTTTATTTTGTCAGCATATGTTTTTAGCCTTATCAAATCATTCTTGCTCAAAAAGAGGACTGGATTAGGATCCCCTCATGGCCTGGGAAAGACCAGAGCAGAGAAATAACCTGGAATTCTGGTGTCAAAGGAAAATTTTCAGTGTCTCACTTTACATTTTGGGGGCTTGATCTGTGGTGGAACTGTCCTGCTAAAATTGGGCATATTTATTCTAGATGGAGAGTTGTTAATTGCAAGTCATGCTCTCACTAGCTACTCATGGATTTAATTTTATTTTTTAAAGTTCCTTCTTTGAAAAAGCAAACTTCCGATCTAAAATGGTAATCGGTTTCAGATCTGTTTTGACTATTTGGTTAGTCAAATTAATTTGACTAATTTAAGATATGTCTGCCTGTGAGCAGAGACTGTGCCACTGCACTCCAGCCTGGGCAACAGGGTGAGGCTCTGTCTCAAAAAATTAAAAAAAAGAAAAGATATGTCTGCTTGATTATAACTATCAAGGGACAAAAGTTTCTTTCACCCATATTCATATTTTTGGTTTTTATTAAGCATGTTCTTATTGTGTTGGGTACTCATTTAACTGTTCATTTAGCTTTCTCAAACTGTAAAGACAGCTAAGATTATTGAACCCTTTTAATCCATTATATTCAATGAACCAGCAGAGTATGATATTTAATATCTGGTAATTAATTTATTCCCTGCCTTGTTTTGGTTTTGTTGATCTATTTATTAATTCCACAGTTGTTTACTGAGTGTCTGTGCTAGGCCAGACACTATTCTAGGTATTCGGTGTGTTACTTGCCCAAAGTAAAATAAAACTAACAGGCAGATAGAACTATAAATTAGTTCCTCATTCCTAAGTTTAATATACAAAATTTTCTATTGAGAGTTAAAAATTCTATTTATGTTCCCAAGTGAAAAGTATTAGAAATTTGAGTAAACCACCCAATATAAACTTTGTGGATAATTTTTATTTCTATTGTTTTTAAAGATAACATATTTTAAAGCTCAGGTATAAGAACTAAATAGATTTCATGAAAAGATACCATATTTAACATTAAGTTTTCATATATATTCTATTTTTTTGAACTCACTTACATTTTAAAGGTAACTCATCCAAAGTTTATTTGCAAATGTGTTTTGATTTTCTTCCATCATGTTTCCTCTATATATTTCATAATAAAATAGAAACATATTACATAACTTAAATTCTTCCTGACTTATATATTTTTGGTGGATCAAATACAATTATCTCTACTTCAGAATATAATTTTATCTATTCCTCTTAAGAATAGATATCATCTTCTATGATAGTATGCCAAAAATAAAATTAAAATCCCAGTGAATTATAGACCAGGGTTTTCTTTCTTGTTGGTTATGCCAGTAGTATCTTTCTTCTAATTCTAGGTGCCTATCTGAGAAGTCCTGGAGCAAGGATACAACTGAATTACTCTTCTTTTGTTCCCTATACCCATAGAGTCCCAGGGGTAATAGAAAGGAAAGTGCCAGACCTGTCAGCACTCATAATTGCTCCCTCCGAAAAGACAGCTCAGCAAAATATTTTTTACTCTTCAAATATATGATCACTTGCCCTTGTTGAAAGGACACCAGCTGGCAATGCTGATCTCTTGGTAGATTTCTGCATCTGTCTGATATCTCTACTTTCCTCAAATTGTTCCCATGGCTTCCTGATAATCTGGGTCCTTAGCTGTCTCTCTGGTCCAGATGCACTGTTCACATAGCACACCAGCCATAGCTCCTATGGCCTTCCCCTTTTCCTTGAACATACAAATCTCTCTCTGTCTCAGCGCTCTTGTACTTGTTGCTTTCTGACTCATCCCCATCTCTTACCCCAGCTGGCTAGCTTCAATTTGTTTTTGAAATTTCTGCTTAAATGTCACCCATCAGGTAGGCTTTCCTTATTCCTTCCTAGAGCCAGTCCTCCTCGTACCCAAAGCAAGTTTCTTTCTTTTTTGTTTTTTGAGACCGAGTCTCGCTCTGTCACCCAGGCTAGAGTGCAATGGCGCGATCTCAGCTCATTGCAACCTCTACCTCCTGGGTTCAAGCAATTCTTCTGCCTCAGCCTCCTGAGTAGCTGGGATTACAAGTGCATGCCATCATGCCCAGCTATTTTTTGTATTTTTAGTAGAGATAGGGTTTTGCCATGTTGGCCAGGCTGATCTCAAACTCCTGACCTCAAGTGATCTACCTGCCTTGGCCTCCCAAAGGGCTGGGATTACAGGTGTGAGCCACCACACCTGGCTACAAGTTTCATAATTACATATTATATATAGTTATTTCTGTGTTTACTTGCTTAATCTCCCCTGCAGATAATAAGCTCCATGCAGGTACAATGTCTGTTTCATTTCCTCGGTATCTGCAGGGTCTATATTTCCTGGCACATAGTAGAGTCCCTCCCCACCCAAACTTATTTGTTGAATAAATGTTAACCAGTTCCAGAAAATAAACATGTATCCCCTACTATTCATGACCAAGCACCAATATATTTTTTCCTACCTATCCTCTTTTCCTTTTTCTCCTAAGAAAAAAGTACAACCAACAGAAGTGAAAACAATTTTTAAACCTCCTCTCTTACTGGAGTTAGAATGTGACCACTGCCACTTATTAAAACAAGTACATACATTCCTTACATATACTTAATCATAATGTATTTCCACTTATGAATCATCAGAGCCTTGAATGAAATGATCTTTAATTGGAAGAGAACACAAAAATAAAAAACAATAATTAATTCAAAAGTCAGAATTTAAGGTTGGGTATGGTGGCTAATGCCTGTAACCCCAGGTATGGGAAGCCAAGGTGAAAGTACTGTTTGAGGCCCGGAGTCCAAGACCAGCCTCAACATAGTGAGACTCCCATCTCTACAAAAAAATTTAAAAAACTAGCCAGGTATGGGGCACACACCAGTAGTCCTAATTAGTTGAGAGGCTGAGTGGGGAGAACGGCTTGAGTCAGGAGTTTGAGGTTATAATGCACTATGATCATACCACTGCACTCCAGCCTGGGTGACAGAAGGAGTCCTTATCATGATGCTTTTGTCATTGTGCATCATGATAAAAAATAAAAAATATTTAAGCTGGTAGAGAGCTAGCCTTAGAAGAACTATAAATAATCAATCCAAGAAATGGTAGAAAAGAGTAGAAACAGATTCTAAAACAAATAGTATGCTGGGAATAAAGATTAAGAAACATACTTTTTTTCGGAGAGTGAGTTTCGCTCTTGTCACCTGGGCTGGAGTGCGGTGGTGTGATATAGGCTCACTGCAACTTCCACCTCCCTGGTTCAAGCAATTTTCCTGCCTCAGCCTCCCAAGTAGCTGGGATTACAGGCATGCACCACCATGCCTGGCTAATTTTATTTTTTGCATTTTTAGTAGACATGGGGTTTCACCATGTTTGTTAGGCTGGTCTCGAACTCCTGACCTCATGATCCGCCCACCTTGGCCTCCCAAAATGCTGGGATTACAGGCATGAGCCACCTCGCCTGGCTAAGAGAATACTTCTAAAAGGGAACAACCAACATATTATGCTCAGGAAGGCTTGAAGGTCTACAGTATTAAGGTTTAGAGAAGGACTTATCAAATTCTTCAACTTATTTATTGATGATGACGGACATCAGAGTAATGAGAGAGATGAAGAAATAGGCACAGATGTAGCCTCTGTAGTTCTTTGTTACTTTTTGACTGTAAGAAAACTGTCACATGCTGAGTCTAGTCCCACTCTGCAGTTACAAAAAGGTAACGGAAACATCTGGAAGCTAAGTGACTTGAACTGGATTCACTAGGATTGACAAAGCCCAGCTTTGTGGAGGGTATCCTGAAACCTACCTTCTTGGGCACAACAGAGGAGCTGGAATTTATTGTGCTTTCGTCATCATGCATCACGACAAGTTCAGAGCTGCTCTCATCCATGACCTCCTGCATGCTGTTCACACTACTGCTCTGGCTGCCAGTGCTCACAGACATGCTTGGAATGGAATGGTTGCTGCCCAGGCTGTCCATTTCCCTGATCAGGTTGGTTCCATGTTCACTGTCCTATAAAAATGGGGCACTGAGGTTAGAAAAAGAGACTGGAGACAAACAGCCAATCCATTGACTAAAGTATCAAGCACACTCAATTTTGCAGTGTGAAGTTACTTTTCTGCCAATCTGCAAAGATGAACTTTTTTTATGTACTGGCTCCACTACGCCCCCACCATCTTTGGACATCTCAAATTCGCTTCCTATGCCTTCCCAAGGGGCTGTTCTGGACAAGGGTCATAAGGCTCCAAATGCTGCCATCCCAGGGCTTTCCCCTGTCATACACTACTATCATATTCATATTGCTATTCAGTAAGCAAAATCAAGCCAGGTTTGTAAGTGATCTTCCGGAACATCAAGAAGCTAGAGGAAGACTGCTGGCCGCTAAACAGGTGAGCTCTAGGATATCTGCAAATACAGCAGTGGTCACTTGAAAAAGTAAAGTGGAAAGAGTTTTCAGAGATTTGACAAGCAATATGCTCCCTCTGCAAGTCATTATTGAGTAACTTCATATCTAAGCAGGGATATTAATTCTACTGTCCTCGACAGGTAATTAAATTCTGCCTCCCTCAAGCAAGTCTATCATGCTTATCTCTGTAATCTTATTAAATATATCTGTTAAATAATACTGGTATTCATCACTACTGGCCCAAAGACTACTATTTGAAAAGTGGTGAAATAATCAGAACATATAATTTATCCACCACAGTGGGATATCTTTTGATATAAGATTGAATAATATAATTAAATCAATTTAGCTACAAATAAACCCTGTTCTCAAACAACCATACTGTACACATATAACTTTAATAAACTCTTACTTAGCCATGGCAATATAAAAAAAAAACTGAGTAATATTAAATGGTAGATAATACATTATATTTTTAACAGACTTATTTTCCCAATTAAAGGGGATCATTTCTATATATGCAATCAAGAAATTTTATAGTTCAATGCAACTTTCTGAGCTTTGTTTTTAGAATTTGATAAAATATTTGTATGTTTATTTTAGTTTCTATGAAAAAGATAAAATATATTCATTCTTCATTCTTTTCTTCCTTTGTATTTCACTTTAGAGGAAGAAGAGTTCTTTCTCTTATTCAAGGCTACTTCTTCCACTAATACTCTTGTTCCCATTCTGTCTCTGCTCTGAAATCCTGCTTCTTTAACTCTATCTCTTTCTTCTATCTTCAGTGCCTCTGACTCTGCCCTGGCTCCATCTCTACTGCATTGAAAGATGAAGAAGCCTGCCTTATAGTTATGGACCTGTCCACATGCTGCCTTCTCTTACTTTTCCTTCTTAACCCAATTTCTGAATCTTAAAATAATTACTTTTTTTGCTGTCTCCCCCTTATCAACTCCCATGAATTATAGAAACCTAGTAATCTACTATTCATTCTACCTAGTCCTGTACAACTAACTGCTTGTACTAAGGTCATCAAGGATTCTCTAATTGAAAACTTCCATCTGTATACTACGGAAAGAATATACAATGCCAGGACCTTAAACGCAAAAGGCACCAAAGTGAAATTATCCTAAACCTACTCTTCCTTGTTCTTTTTCTCCGTTCTTGGTATTGATGTATTCCTAGCTACCCAGGCTCAAATGTTCAGTCACCTTAAATTCCTCCTCATCTGTCACTGTCAATCAATTAGAAGCCATGGATTATCAAACCTGCCTCTGCAATGTTTCTCAAAAGTGTTCCCTTTTTCCCTATTTGCATCAACACTGCCCTTATTACCTTTTGCATGGACGATTAGCCAGGATGTTGCCCATTCAAATCCATATTACACTCAGTTGGCAGGATAATCTTCCTAAAGCACAACACCTTTCTGAGTCTAGAATATCTTACTATGCCCATTTATCAGGAACCACCCACATCATGTCCTCCATGTAAGCTTCACTAATCCCCACCAGTAGACTTATTTTCTCCCCACGATGGACTCCTGCAATGGGGCTACACCTCTGTAGCACTTTTCATATTCTGCCTTATATAAATGTTATTTTATGAATGTCTCTTGTACAACGCTTCATGTCTCTTAAGGCAGACAGCATCAATTACTTTTTATCCTCCAAGGTTTTTCATAGTGCCCAGTCCAGGACTTTTTCACATAGTGGGCATTCTATAAGTGCCTGCTAAAATAAATTGAACCTACTTCCTCATCCTCCTGTGATTCATTCAAGGGTCCATTTCGTGTTTCTTGGAAAAGTATTTTTTTCATTTTTCGGTACTGTAGGTTATCTAGCTCACGAACAGCATCTTTTGTCCTCTGTATGAGGTCAATGAGGACACGTAGTGGCCGGTCTCGTCGAACAAAGTCATGCTGATTGAAGGAGGAGAAAAAAATAAACTGATAATGAAGAAACATTCTTAGGTGCAAGATACAGATATAAAAGGAAATAGAGAATCATAAAATAGTTCTATGGATTTTACGGAAATAACAAAATATGATTTTTATGTCATGTATCCTTCCATATTTCATAAATTTCAAAAAGAGATAACCATGCTTTTTTCTTCTTCCTTAAGCCCCATTTTGTAGATGTGAGAAGGCTTTTTAAAAATTGTACATATTTAAAGTATATGGCAAGATGTTTTGATACATAGATATATATATATATATAGTGAAATGATTTCTACAGTTATGTAAATTCACATATCCATTATCTCACATAGTTACTTTTTGGTGGCAAAAGTACTAAAAATCTTTAGCCTTAGCAAATTTCCCAGATATAATACAATATTACCAACCATAATCCCCATTCTGTACTCTGGATCTCTACATTTATTTATCCCACATAACTGAAACGTTGTACCATCTGACCTTCATCTTTCCATTCCCCATCCCTTTCAACCACCTTTTGTTTTGTGTTTTATTCTTTTGTTTAGTTTCCACATGTAAGTGAGACTGTATATTATTTTTCTGTCTGTGTCTGGTTTATCTCACTTAGCATAATGTCTTCTGGGTTCACCTGTATTGCTGCAAATGGCAGGACCTCTTTCCTTTTTAAGACTATATATATATATAAAATAAATACTATACATAAATAACATATTATTCAGTCTTAAATACATATATTATTCAGTCTTAAGTATATATATCACATATACCATAATTTCTTTTATTCTTTCATCCACTGATGAACACCTAGGCTGTTTCCTTATTTTGGCTATTGTGAATAATGCTGTGATGAACATAGGGGCACAGATATTTTTATGAGGTGCTGACTTCATTTTCCTCAGGTATACAACCAGCAGTGGGATTACGGGAACTAATAATATATATATATTTTTAGGTTTCTGAAGAAACTCCATATTGTTTTCCACAATGGCAATACCAATCTACATTTCCACCAACAGTGTATAAGGATTCCCTTTTCTCTATACCCTTGCCACTTATCTGTTACCTTTTTTGATAATAGCCATTCTAACAGGTGGGAGGTGATAACCCATTGTGGTTTTGATTTCCATTTCTCTAATGATTAGTGAATGCTGAGTATCTTTTCATATGAGAATGCTTGAGGTTTACTTACCATGTAAGTAATACAAAATCACTAGAACTTTAAGAAGCAGCAGGTAGGCTTGCACATTTTAAATCTGAAACTATATAATAAAGCAAGGCAGAGTATAGTCTATTCTTTTTTTTTTTTTTTTTTTTTTTTTTAGATGGAGTCTTGCTGTGTCACCTAGGCTGGAGTGCAGTGGTGTGATCTCGGCTCACTGCAACCTCTGCCTCCTGGGTTCAAGCGATTCTCCTGACTCAGCCTCCCAAGTAGCTGGGATTTCAGGCACGCACTACCATGCCTGGCTAATTTTTGTATTTTTAGTAGAGACGAGGTTTCACCACATTGCCCAGGCTGGTCTTAAACTCCTGACCTCAAGTGATCCACCCACGCAGCCTCCCAAACTGCTGGGATTATAGACGTGAGCCACTGCACCACACTTTAGTCTGTTCTTATTATAACTTGCCTCAATCCTCACCCCCATACACACTATCCCTTGAGAAACAGATTTGTGAATATTTTGTTTTCTATTTCTATGGTCATATAGTATATGCTTGAAAACATGCCAGCTGTTCAATCATCCAGAGGTCAAAATTCTGGCAACTCCATTTTCCCAATAAGAAAAAGGGTCTCTAAGGAGAGTGAAAATAACTGCCCTAAAGTCGATAAATTCTTGATATAAACATCCCTCACTTTCAATATTATTAATGATTGTTACATAATCTGGTTTCCTGGTTTCTCAGCCCATAGCAGGTTAGAGAGAGAATAAGAGTGGAGAAGTAAAGGACTGAGAACTGGGAGAGAGGGTTACCGCCCGTTGTAAAAAGGAAGTATCTCTTGTGAGTTCTCTAACAGCCTGAGAGTAGAGAAAGAAAGAAATTTCGTTCAGACTAACAGACCTGTCAACCAAACAAACAAATTATAATGAAACAGAGGTTTGTGGGCTATTTTGCCCCTTATAAATAGCCCCTTTTATATAATAAGAGTTCATAAAGCAGTGTCTCTGAGCCCTCAGGAAGTGACATTAGGCTGGGGGTGGTGGCTCATGCCTATAATCCCAGCCCTTTGGGAGGCTGGGGCAGGCAGATCATTGACGTCAGAAGTTCGAGACCAGCCTGGTCAACATGGTGAAACCCCATTTCTACTAAAAATACAAAAAAATAGCTGGGCATTGTGGTGCATGCCTGTAATCCCAGCTACTTGGGAGGCTGAAGCAGGAGAATCACTTGAACCTGGGAGGCTGAGGGTGCAGTGAGTTGAGACTGTGTGCCACAGCACTCCAGCATGGGTGACAGAAAGAAGGGAAAAAAAGTGAAAGGAGGAAACTTTTTTTTTTTAAGGAAAAAGTTCAGTTATGTGGAAAATTTACTTGTGTAAAATTATAATTTGAAGACATTGGGAAAATGAGACATAATGTAGTAGGCCTTAGCTGATGAAATGAATTTAATTTCTTTATAATTTAAAAAGAATAGGGCTCTTGTGAGAAAACAATCTATGTCTTGTGGTTCTGTATTCTGACTCTGCTGTTACAGGAACTGCGGTTTTTGCTATGGCTTTTATAAAATACCTCTTCCTAGGCAAAGAGTCCTTTCTGAATAAAAAGTGCCATTCCCAGAAGCAAGTGTAGCCTGCATATGTCAAGGATGAGAAAGAAAGGAAGAAAGTACATAATTTTCCTCCCCTAGTACTTACAATTATACAAGAGCTAATCGGTTTTTAGTAAACTTAAAGCTATGATTTAACATCATATAATTTTAAAATGGGACAGCCTCTAAGAAAATTTTCTGTTTCAAGGCCAAGCATGGTGGATTATGCCTGTAATCCCAGCACTTTCGGAGGCCAACTTGGACAGATCACCTGAGGCTAGGAATTCAAGAGCTGCCTGGCCAACATGTCGAAACCCTGTCTCTATTAAAAATACCAAAATTAGGGGCCAGGTGCAGTGGCTCACGCCTGTAATCCCAGAATTTGGGGAGGCCAAGGTAGGTGAATCATTTGAGTTCAGGAGTTCAAGACCAGCCTGGCCAACATGGTGAAACTCCGTCTCTACTAAAAATACAAAAATTTGCTGGGCGTGTTGGCACGTGACTATAGTCCCAGCTACTTAGGAGGCTGAGGCAGGACGAGTGCTTGAATTTGGAGGTGGAGGCAGCAGTGAGCTGAGATTGAGCCACTGCACTCCAGCATAGGTGACAGAATGAGACTCTGTTTTTTTTTTTTTTTTAAATAAATAAATAAAAATACCAAAATTAGCCAGGTGTGGTAATGCCTGCCTGTAGTTCCAGGTACTTGCGAGGCTGAGGCATGAGAATCACTTGAGCCTGGGAGGCAGGTGTTGCAGTGAGCCAAGATCAGGCCACTGTACTCCAGCCTGGGTGACACAGAAAGACTCAAAAAAAAAAAAAATTTTTTTTTTCTTTTTCAAAGTGAGGAAACTTAGGCCCTGAGAAGTTAGGTGATTTAAACAGCTAATTAGTAGAAGAGCTACGGCCACAACTCAGGCTTTCAAATTTTTTTTCTGCAGGGGTGGGGTGGGGTGGTGGTGGTGGTGGTGGTGGTGGTAGTTATTTTCTTGTGTCCTACTACCATAATTATCTTTCTAAAATACAGGTATGATCATGTCATTCATCATCCACTGCAACAGATACTACGTGCCATTAATCTCCCATTCCAACCTAAATTTTTTTTTGAGGGGGGATGGAGTCTCACCCTATCACCTAGGCTGGAGTGCAGTGGTGCAATCTTGGCTTACTACAAACTCTGCCTCCTAGGTTCAAGTGTCAACCTCAGCCTCCCCAGTAGCTGGGATTACAGGCATGTGCCACCACTTTTTGTATTTTTAGTAGAGATGGGGTTTCACCATGTTGGCCAGGCTGCTCTTGAACGCCTGACCTTAGGTGATCCACCCACCTTGGCCTCCCAAAGTGCTGCGATTACAGGCATGAGCCGCCACTATCAGCCCCAACTTTTTTTTTCTTTTATTAAGTCTCAGTTGCCAAAGCTAGAGTGTAGTGATGCAATCTTGTCTCACTGCAACCTCCACCTCCTTGGTTTCAAGTTATTCTCCTGCCTCAGCCTCCTGGGTAGCTGGGACTATAGGCACGTGCCACCATGCCTGGTTAATTTTTGTATTTTTAGTAGAGATGGGGTTTCATTATGTTGGTCAGGCTGGTCTTGATCTCCTGACCTCATGATCTGCCCGCCTCAGCCTCCCAAAGTGCTGGGATTACAGGTGTGAGCCACCGTGCCCGGCCTTTTTTGCCTTACTTTAAGCACTGGAGAGTAAAGGAATTGAGCCCAAACCTTCTTTGTGGTTACAGATCACAAAGTGACTAAGTTCTGGCCAATGAGAGGTAGGCAGAAGTTCTTGAGGAAGGCTTTATTTTTCAGAATAAAAAGGCAAGACACAGGAGGAGAAGGTGTTTTACCCTCTGTTCTCTCCCCTTCTTCCTGGATGGAATAAATGAGTCTTGGCAATGTGGCAGCCATTTTATGACAAAGACAATATAAGCTACATGCTAAGGATGGTGAAGTAGAAAGAAAGAGCTTGGGTTGGGGGCTGGGCATGGTGGCTCAGGCCTGCAATTCCAGCACTTTGGGAGGCTGAGATGGGTGGATCACAAGGTCAGGAGTTCAAGACCAGCCTGGCCAAGATGGTGAAACCCTGTCTCTACTAAGAATATAAAAAAATTAGCGAGGCATGATGGTGGGCGCCTGTAATCTCAGCTCCTCGGGAGGCTGAGGCAGAGAATTGCTTGAACCCAGTGGAGGTTGCAGTGAGCCGGGATCATGCCATTGCACTCCAGCCTGGCGACAGAGCGAG